TTCCTTTAAACCCTGATCAGGAATGCCTCAAAAACTCCAACTTGGGTCCGCTATTATTCCTAATCTTTATTAACAGCGTAACATTTATTAAAATTAATGCATCTTTTGTTTGCGGATGATTTGAAAATGTATTATAAAATAAAATCGAACGATTGCTACTCATTACAAATGGATTTGAATAATATTTTGAATTGGTCTGGAAAAAATAAGCTTCACTTGAACATATCCCAGTGACTTATTCAAGAAAGAAAGAGTCAAGCATGTTCGATTACTGCATGAACGGGGTAATCTTGTCAAGAGTAGGTAACTGAGGTATGGACCTTTGATAGTCGATCAACTTTTAACAGCCATGTATTTGACACTTGCAACCGAGCAATAAACATTTTTGGTTTTATGTTTAGGCATACTCGCGATTTCTCTGATCATCATCAAAATCATAGGCACTCGATACCAAGTATGATTATCTTATTTTATATGCTTATTGTCGTCGATTGTGCGTTTTCTGATGGTTTTATAAACCAATTCTGGAGCCGCACACTCTTCCACAGTCTTAGCACACCCAACCTCTGCCAGCATTGTCTCTTCCTCTGTTCTCTCCCTCCTTCCTGCGTTTCTTCTTGTCGGTATCGTATCTGCGTCGCTGTTCTTCAAAATTTGGTGGACCGTGTGGACTACTCGACGCCAGGAAGGCATATCATTTGCCGTCGTCTCCTAGTTGCTGGTATCGATGTGGCACTCTACCATATTCTTGCTAAGAACATCCTTGTAGCGTTTTTGTTGACCTCTTTGATTTCGATTTCCCTATTTCAGTTGAATGTAGAGAATCTGTCGTGGAAGACGTGTTTCGGGCATGCGGAAGAGCTGACCTGTCCAGCGAAGTTGGTGCTCAATGATGAGAACTTTCTTGCTATTAGTTGTTTTGGCCCCCTCTACGATCCTTCTTAGGCAGCGCTGATGGTGGTATTTTTCTAGGCTTTTTATGTGTCTTCTGTAGGTGGTTCATGTTTCGCAGCCATATGGAAGTAGGTATTAGAACTGCATTGTAGTTTGGTCCCAGCGCTGATATCGTGATCGTTGAAGACTCTTTCTAGAAGCCGCCCGAACGCCGCGCTAGCACACCTCAAGCGATATTGGATTTCAGCGTCAATATTGCATTCACTGGAAGATGGCTCCCAAGGTATGCGTAGGTAGTGTTCTACGTTCTGCAAAGAATGGCCATTTATAGTTATATTTGGGACTAGTATCCGGTGCCGGTTGGTGCAGAATTTGCGCCTGGATGAATGTATTGATAATTGCCAGAAGATCTTCCTCTGTATTGGCCATCACGACGTTATCATCCGCATATTGAAGTTCAATTAATTATCGATGTCGTCGATACTTTAGTTTTGGCTCGTAATCTGTTTAGGACCCTCAACAAGGTGAATACTTCTCTGATCCAGTTTGTATAAAGCATGTATATATATTTTCACGAAATTGCCTCGGGAGCCCGGCCGGATTTTATACAATGCAATTGTCTGCGCGTCGCCTAAACAATTCAGAGAATTCTATTCAAGTAGGGCGCCCGGTTTTTCTAGATAAATCCCGAGCTATAAATAGCGCGTAGTGTTTTAAGTGGGGGTCAGTCTAGTCAAGAGCTTTGTTAAAGTTAGTCTAATAAGAGTGTTGTTGTAAGTCAGTTTTAATTCGATATTTGTCGTGTGCGACAATAAATGATAAAGAGTAAATTTCATATAAAATCAATTAGTTTAATAAAAGTTGTTTGTGAAGTGAGTTTCATCAGTGATCCCGGAATCCGTGAGAATATGTAAAGTCTTCTACGAAGTCTGCTAGAATATGCAAGTGCTATCTGGTGCCTGATTTACCGGTTCTACAAATATTTATTAGAAAAAATTCAAAATAAGAGGTATTGCGACAAATTGACTTTAAAGAAACAAGAATGTATGACCCCGGGGGATCTGCAACTATATTTCACGTGGAAACTACAATTTGCCAAGTTTAGGAAAGCGGAGGGGTATATGCATCATGCGATTTTGTATTTATTCATTACATATAGTATATTAGTCATGATTCCAATGTTTTCTGAAAAATTACTTCAACATACCAACTCATATAATATATTTATCTAAGTACAATCGCTCTTACCAATTCGCATCAGAATTCGCTAGTAATTACTATTAGGTTGTGTAAAAGTTACACCCAGATACAATCTGAAGTCTGAAGTTGATATTTTTGGGGTTTCCCTTTGTTCATTAAAACAAACACTTTTGTCATTATTGTAGCACTTAGTTTAAGTGTGAGTCTCAGATTGGCGTAGATAATTTTAGGTTTAACTCAAGTTTTTGTTAGTTTAAGATAGCCTAATCATCATTGTACTTTGTAATTGGGTGCTACAGCAATCTGTTAAGAGAATAAATAAATAAATGTGCAAGTTTTGTGAAGCGGTAGTACGATACGCTTCGGGTAGTATTGACACAGTACCTACACATTTTCCTTTTTATTATGATGCCATTTACATGATACCTATAGCGTACACAGTGGCACGAGTAACTGACTATTATTTCCGTCTTGAACTATAGTCAAAAAACGAAATCACAAATCACTGTCACTCTCGACTCCTGTTCCACTAATTATTCATAATTCACTGATAACTCATTATTTTGAAAAACTGGGGTAAAACCTTTGGTCGCCGACTCCCTCTCATAGGGCGTGGTTCCTTTTAGAATTGTGTGAATAATTCGCTACTGTTCGTTCGCTGAACTATTGGGCGGTAAAATTCCATTCGCCAATGTTCTAATTATTGCGCAGTGTTGCAAAATTTTGCACAATTTCCGTGTCTTATGGCCGTTTCCACCAACTATTTTAGGGGAGCCCTAACGATAAGTATTCCCCAAAATGACATTTTTACATGGAGATATGTCAGTTGGCATACCTATCGTTAGAGATTCCCTAAAATAGTTGGTGAAAATGGCCATTATTAAGTGGTATCATAGTAAAATCGAAAATGTGTTCCGGGCCAATACGATCGCTTGATAGGACTTACACATGTTGTGGTGGAGTAACTGACAAAGATTTCGGTATCTGCCGGGATTTAAAAAAAAAAATCAAATCGATGGGTCCGTTTCCCGAGCCGTTTCCACACTACTTCAGAGGTACATACACGATTTTCCCAGTAGGCCTAATCCATATTTTTATTATGGGACCTACCTCTACTTTACATTTAACTCTAGTTCTCTGATAATGAGTTGACTTCTTCCTCCTAATCTTCTTCAGTATGTCAACTCTCATTATACTTGAAGTGAAGAGATCAATGGGATTCTTTCCTTAGTAGCACAAAGCACTATTTATTGGCAGTTGCTTCAAGGCATAAGCTCTCTTGAGTTTTATTTCACAAAAAGATCATTTGCAGATACGTTTCCACACGAAATAACAAAAAGATTAAAAGTTGCGCAGCTTTTTTTTTTCTTATCCTATGGTATTTTCTGTACAAACCGATCTTAAGAAAAATGTTATCTCTTACCTTAGAGCAGGTGACAAGAAGAGAAGAGACGGATGCCGATTTTGAGAGTTTTTTGTTCACCAGAATAATAATGGAATAGCAACTATAATGCTTTACCTGTCTATCTGGTGACCGAAACGGTTAAGCTCCTGCTAAAAACTGGCTTCACTTTCTTTCATAGCGGTATGGCGCATTTTCACTTAATGTCAAATACAGTAAAGTCCGGTTAAAGCGATATTGGTTTGATTGAATACGAATATCAGGTTGTTACAGCCAGTGGTTGCTTTACCGATAATTTATAATATGCATGAAAAGATTCTGCCTAAATATTGTATTTATGGTTAACCTAGTGTAGGTTTTCTAAAACTCGGGGGCTCCCCTCCCTTGCATCATTGCTACTACTGGAGCGCATTATAAGCAGTCGGAACCAAGATTTTTCGTCGTTATAGGCAAAATTGTTAAATAAAACATAAACTTTCAAACAATTGTCTATAATTTGGTGCGTATTTGGATTTTCAATATAAGCGGTCTTATAGTGAACGGCTCTTACAGTATCTACAGATGAAAACTTAAGTTGGTGACATTTCATCATTGGGTACCTAACTTGATATAGCTCCATCCGTTTCTTGTTTATAAAAATGAAGGCAAAAGGCCCAAAGTCAAGAATAGGCTGCTGTTATCAGAAACTAAATCCTCAAGATATCAAGTCCAGGTAAAATCAAAGAGGTAAAGCCGAAGTGCTTATCAATCATTGACATTAAAAATCACTTTTTAATAATAATTTAGAGGTTTATTCGGTAATAGATACAATTTTGGTTAAATGGGAAAAAATTTACGCTATTCCAAGCCCAATCAGATGCTGTATCGAAATTAAAAATATCTACAGTTACAAAGCTATGATAACAAAACACAATTACAGCATTTGTTTAACATTCAACTAAGTGAAAATCTGTTTTTTCAATAAATTTACATTTTCTGTCATCCAAAGATAGGCCTGTTGTACATGGTTAAAAAGCCCTTTTTATGCTCCATTTGATGACGTAAAAAAACAATATGGCGGCCATAAGAAATAACAAAGTTGGCTATGGTTGCAAAAAAACTAGAAGGCCTGGAAAAAAATTGTTAACGTCATTCGATTGCCCGTAGTCGCTCATACAAAACTACTGAATTATAATTAATTTGGTTACAAAATGGCGACGATATATTAAGTTTTCGAAAAACACAATTTTTAGTATTTGCTCGATATTTTGAAAACCCCTGTAGATATTACCAATTTCGATGCAGCATCTGATTGGGCTTGAAATACCGCAATTTTTTTCTCATTTAACTAAAATTGTATCTCTTACGGTTTCCGAAATCCCCATCTAGTTACTTTTATGTGGGACACCTTGTATAAACAATATATAAACGTTCTCGACTACTGGCGAAATATGCACAAAAGTGTACCTAAATGTACCGCAAATATTTTCCTAAAGTGAACTTATTCATATTTCTTTTTCTGCTCCACTTTTTGTGTTCACCTCGGTGTTCACTAATATCTACTTTGCTTTTGATTCACACAACTGATGATATCCTCACGAGGATCAATCCTTGACAATCAATAAACCCAGTGAAGCAGACACCAAACAGAATTCTAGAAAGTTGTATGCTGAGTAATGGTCAATAAAGTCCTAAGTCAAAACACTTTAGAATGTGTGTGGTATCCCTTTCCAAAAGTTATACAATGATATTACAACGTTTATTAATTTCAAAAATTCCATAAAATACTATGCAAAATACATTTTATGTATTCATACTTAAAAAATTACTAGGTACCATTTGATAAGGTAAAATTTAGTAAGAGCAGCACAGCTAGGCGATATTGCAACAAAAAAAATAATCAAATCATAATCTTGATGATGCTCACAATTTTTAGAACCTAATTAATTTTAACTTAAAAAAAAAATACTGTGCAGGTATCGTAGCAAAGCACATTTGATTTATTTACTTTGGAATTCCAAATTGTAACTTTAGAAAACTGATTTTTTTCAGTCTGAAGATTATGCATATCTATTTATTTGTCATGTAAAAATATTTGTACATACATAAAAAATTTAAATAAAAACACTCTTTCAGTCTAAATATTACCAATTGGACGGTTTGCACTTAACTAAGTAGGTATAGGTACTTAATTTCTAGTCGAAATTCAAAACATAAGTAATTCTTAATAGTTGAGATTCATTATTTTTTCGAAAATATTGGTCTACGATTAAGCAATAAAAATTTGCTTAAGGCCAAAGCAATTCGATATTTGGTGACTGAAGTACTGCTAGAATTTTATATTGAGATTGTACTACCATCCAACAATAGATCTAGAAAAAATATATATTAAGGTAGGTAGTATATAATAACATAATTTATTGAAACTTACATTGTATGACATCCAACACCAAATGATGAGGGCATATAGAACACAGTCAATCTAAAATAATAATAAAATCTTGAATTCAATATCATAAATACAATATAGCAATTTTAAGAATTTTAATCCCATTCACCATAAAAAATAATCTGTAATTAAAGCGAGAAACAACACTGCTTTAAATGTTCTTAATGCGTTTGGGCATTTTTCACTTTTTATTTGTGATCTAGAAAAAAAGATAGATTTACTTACATATATATAATATCCTCCCAAAAGCCATAGTCCAAATATTAATTGAAACAGAATACCAGTTCCAAATAAGCTCATCCAAGGCAACAACAGTCCTCGAATCATAACATGTAGTCCCCATACCAATAATCCGGAAGATATAATCAAACAACAAAAGTAAAATAACATCAAGCCTCCAACAACTTGCATAGCTGAAAAATAAATACTCTACTATATATTTTCAGATTGCAAATCCTATAAAATAAAATATTTTTCATATTGGTACCTACTAAGTATGAGATTTTGTAATTATCAAAAATTGATAGTCTCCTAGGGATAGACATGTTTATCTTTATTGAGAGAAGCTGTCTAAAGCTTTCTAATGTGCCACCAAATTTCATTATTTGAAACCGAGTTTGAAACCAACCCTTGATGAAGAAAGACTAATGCATGACTTTTTTGAATGGATACTTTCAGCCAAGCACAAACAATGTACCTAGCCAGAAACAGTGCACCGATTCTTCAATCTTCTATATATTGAACAAGGATAAAATCACGGATAAAATATGGGAATTAGCTTTGTGCATTGTCTACATTACACAATAAAAGTAGGTTTATACAACGTTTGCGTAATCCGAGGCATAATCGGTAAAATAATTTCTTATGAATCCGTTCATAACCAAGTCACAATCACAATCATAAACATAAGCATAATTTGGTTGGCCTTGAAGTTTCTAAATTTTAGCTTTTTCGATTATGCTTTACTATTAATCCAGTAACTTTGTCCGTGAGAGTGGGGGTTACCGTGCGTCAAATCCGGTAGTTCTGATTTTTAGCCGAATTATTAATGATATTGGCCCAATGAATTACCCGAGAAATTACCAAAGTTTTCGAACTCGAAGGCTATATACTCGGCTATATACCATTACATACACTTTTTCAAAATTGGGGGGATATCGCGCTTTCATATTTTTCCCCCTTAAAAACTTTTCAAAATTCCTCCCCCCCCCCCCCCCCTCCAATCGATAGAGCTACTTTTTCTCTACAACCATACAAAATTTCAACTTTCCAACCCCAGCCGTTTGGGCTGTACAGGCCGGAAGTCAAAACTTTGACAGCCCACCCAGGGTCCCTCGGGGAAAAAGGGGGGACGAAACTTATTTTGACTCGACAAAATCAAAAGTTCTAGGTCCCCTGAAAATTTCAAATTTCTATCTTCTTGGGAAGTAGCTGGAACATCGCGCGCTGACGTTGTTTCGAGAAAATTCAAAAAGTTCTCTTTCGGAAACTGTTGCACCTATAGAGATGATTATGGTCTTAAATTATAGGAAATTTAGTCTACTTCAAAAATTCACTGAATAGCTATTTCGAAAAAACTAAGTAGTCCTTCATGGTTAAAATCGGCAAAAACCTAAAAAAATGTTGAAAATTTCGCGTCTTCCTGGACTTTTAACAAGGTTGCGTTCGGCCGTCGAGTTCGAAGACTTCGGTTATTTATTGGACCAACATCATAAACAACGCAAAAAATCAGAACTTCCGGATTTGACGCATGTTCGGATGTATATGGTTACTGGATTATACAGGGTGTCCCACGGTGGATGGCGTATTAGACGTTTATGGAGAACTAAAAAGCGGATCATTTTGAAAATTTGGCAACCGGGATAAACGACCATAATCTACACTTAAAAAATATTTTTGTTTATGCGGTGTTGCCGCTTCTACTCTAAACCCGTGGCACCATCGCTATTTTATATGGAACACCTGAGGGAACACCCTGTATGTGATTTGATATTTGGATTCTACGTATAATTCTGAGCAGATGATAGTTTATGAAAATCTAAGATAGCAATGTAAAATCGGTTTTCTTATAAAATTAACCGTTTAGGCTTTACAGCCTGTCAAAGTTGCAAAAAAGTCAATTTTGAACTGTTAATATTTCCAAAACAGTTGAACTTAGGTATAGGGTATATTACATGAAATCTGCTCAGAATTTTACGTATAATCCAAATATGCAATCACATACCGGGAGTTCCATTAAAAATAGCGTTATTGCCACTGGTTTAGAGTAGGAGCGGCAACACCGCAGAAACAAAAATATTTTTAAAGTGTAGGTTATGGTCGTTTATCCTGGTTGCCAAATTTTCAATATGATCTGTTTTTCAGTTCTCCATAAACATCTAATACGCCATCCACCATGGGACACCCTGTATGGTTATGATTAAGACAAGAATGAAAATGAGAATCAAAATTCAATAAATATGTAATTTGATCTTGGGATAACACACACCCAACTGGAACAGTGTAAAGATGATTTTAAACAACAAATTTCATATTAACGGGTGTCCGATCTTGACCAGGGGGTAAATTCTTGAATATTCTCGCATACGAAAGTTGGTACGAATTCGAATGACAGCAACGCAAATTGAATAGGGAACGTTCGAAATGATTTCAATTTTCGCATGCAAGAATTGGGCCCCAGTAGCGGAATTACGAGTGGTTAAATGTTTCTTTAATTTGAAAGACCATAGATCAAAAATTCATCAAAAGGCAAGAGATGTGAAAGTTAGATTTCTAAGCCCTTGACTAAGCCAAAAAAAGTCTAATTTCGCAAGTGGAGTGAGAGTGAAGAAAATATACTTGAAAATATATTATTTCTGTAAATTTAAAATCACAACTCTGCTACTTATTGAGATCGGACCATTGACGCTCTTGAAAATATGAACCTTTTTGCTTAAATTTTTAAGATCTATAACCTGTTTCAGATGGTCCACACTATTTGACAACCTGTATAATATATAAGGTAACATTAAAATAAGGATTTCGAATAAATTTATTATTAGTATTAGTATAAATGTGCCACAAGTAAAATTTAAAATTAGAGTGATCAAATATCTAACTAAAAGGATTTAATTGAATAGCCGATATTCATATTTCCGCTCTAAGAAAAGCTATACTTTTTTACAATCTTGTGTAATAATAATCTTAATAAACTTTTCTGATCGTCTTCAGTCTTTGCTGTCCTTTTCAATAACTTGAACCTTGACAAAACCAATGGCAAAACAGCTGTTACAGTGTGATTGTTTATGCAAACTCTTTGAGCCATACAACTACAAGAACCAATTTATTTTTTTCTGGAAGAACATACTGCAGACATACTGCATCTAAAAAACATAGGTAATTGATTTTGCATTAAGATTAATTGATGCTTATAAAACATAACCTTTTCTACATTTGCATGAGAGTACATATTTTAGTTTCCATTAGAATGTCTGGTGAATTTTTTAAAACTGTTCACATATTACCAAAGTGGATTTCCCATCTAAAATTGGTATTAGCTGCCAGTTCCATTTTTGGTTTTAAAGAGTTTAACCAAATCTTGGTTGGTATAAAGCTCTTAAGGCAAGGAATATTTTGTTGGGGCAAGCCTAGATAATACCTTCGAGAAGGCCATTAAACCTCCTAATACATTAAGTGAGAGATCAGATTTTGGAGAATACAATAGGCATTATCAAAATTTCAAAAACTTTTAAAAACAATCACTTGTTTTGCTTTGAAAGCTTGTTCAGCTAATATAGTGTAAATATAAATAGTACAATATTTTTTGCAATTTTTTTTCGAAATAATAAAACCAAGTTAATAGCATTTTTAGTTTTCTTTTGGCATGTAAGCCCCGATCTAGGCCCCAAAGCTTCTCGAATGTTTGAAATAATATATCTATCTAACTTCTAAAGGAACTTTTTGGATTTTGAGTTCATATTGTGGTATTTGTTGCGTTCTATGGTATCAATATCTCGTTTTTAGAAAATAGTGCCTATTTGCATTGTCTAATTTTGGTTTTACAATCTCCAAAATTATTGATCTTAAAATACAATAACAATTTAGCTAGTGACACTTGAGCCCTTAACATAATTCATCCTGGAGCGGTTTTGGCACAAGTAGCACCCTATTATCAAGTAAAGTGGCAAAATGTTTCCTTTTCCCTTTTTTGTTAGTGATGAGCCCGAGGATGAGCCTAACTTTCCACCTCCTTGTCCTTCTTTGTGGACATTGATTCTTTATTGCTACAGTCAGCAGAGACGCAAAGCTTAGAAATAAATCTTAGGAAATTCCTCGGGAAATTCCTATTACTTACTTCTAAGTTCTTTTTACCAAAAACTCGCATTTTGATAGGATACTTTAAAATACATAGAACGACTTCACAACCAAGACCAGACCACAAAAGTTAGGTTATAGAGTTAATTTTTTGACTATGATTAAATGATTATTACCTTCAATAAAGGCTTGTTAAAATTGCGATTTATGATTGACTGCGACCATGATTATGATTATGCAAATGTCGTATAAACCCATCAATTAGGAATCACTCACTAAGTTGGTTAACCCCGGCTTAAAGTCTAAACAAATATTTGATTCTTACAATATCTGATGTCAGCCTCAAAAAGTGGATTGTACAGTTGGGTAGAGTCGCCTCCTGCCATGTTGAATACAATAAAGGTCATTAAAACTATGCTGAGAGCTACTGTGTAGAAACAAATGGCTTTGCATCCTGTCTTTAAATTATCATTCCAAATGAATGGGGCCCAACACGCCTCCACCATTTTCGAATATTGGTTTTCTGCCTTATTTATTATCGGAATTAACACGGCTTTTGCTTTTAACTGTTGCCTTTTTTAATTAAATAGTGATTTTAGTTATTGTGGGGCATGGGGCACACCCAAAATAAAAAATAATTAACAACAGTGACTGCTGCACCGCCGCGCTGGTTAAATTTAAATTTATGCGGCGGTCCACTAGCGAACAATAACAGATGTTTTCATTTGTAGCCGCTAGAGCTGCTCCGAGCATAGTATCTGTACTCCAATGCTCACATTCTCTTCAATTCAATTTATTGTTTTCAGAAAGTATTTTTATAACAATGGGTACGCTAAGTCAGTAATAGGTAATAATACAAAAATGCTGGCATTCTCTTGAAGAGTAGTTTCATAATATAAGGCTATTTTTCGCGACCTATCTAATTTTTCCTACGATTGATGCTCAAATTACCGAGGATAAAGGTGGATTTAGCCAACTCTTAATACATAAGGCACAATTTTAATTCATAATGGATAATTAATAAATCTTCACATTTGAATACACCCGTTTATACAACGCATAGTGGATAACTGATAATTTAGTGTAGGTCTAATGCGTAATTCACAAAGTTGACTAACCCTTAACTTTTACGCATGATCCATTATACATTAAGCACAAAACGCTAGAGCGCAAGCGTACATTATTTGATTATTTTAAAACTTCGTTTTTGTTTTGGTTTTGCCTCATAAGCTCGAAATCTGATTGTCTTTTTTCCTGTTGTTTACAATGGTTTTTGATTTGAAATCAAGTTTTTCCGTTTTTATTTATACAAATTTTCCTAAGAAAAAAAAAAATAAAGCCTAATTTATTATTTATTTCAGTATTTATCATTTTATTAAAAATAACAAGTGTCAAACTCAACTGTCTTGTCAATTCTTAATGCACAAAAATTATATACATTATGCGTTATGAATACCGCATTTGGTTCAATTATGAATTGAAATTGTTCATTATGCATTAAGAGTTGGCTAAACCCAAGGATAATACACACACTAGGGTTGCCACCTCTCCGGGTTTCACCCGGAGTCTACGGGTTTTCACATATGGTCTCCGGGCTCCGAATTACTAGGTGTTTTCTCCGGGTAAAACCGCATTCAACAACAAAAAAACGCATTTAACAAAAAAAAAAACGTAAAAATAATTCTTATGTCCAGGAAAAAAAAAATACATTTAGCGACAGCGCAATACTGTTCCTGCTCTCCCTCAAGGATATCACACACTACTATAGGATTGCTCATCGACCTCGATTTTTGGAATCAAGGTCATATGATGTTGCACCGTTGCCGGCGTCATCCGCGGCGTCGTTAACTGTTTGCGCCAGCGGTTGTATTTTAAAATATACATTTATAATGAAAAATATTATTTAATTTTGAATAACATAATAGGAAAAGCGTAAGATGCAAACGAGATCTAAAAATGGTTGTTTTAGAATGTTGCTTATGGCCGTTTGCACCGACCATTTTAAGGGAGTTTTAACGATAATCAATGCTTAAAGTGACATTTTTACATGTAGAAATGTCACTTTAAGCGTTTATTATCGTTGAACCTCCCTTAAAATGGTCGGTGCAAACGGCCATTAGTGCGGCTGGATCAATTGTTAGTTAAATCCTTGTTAGTTAACAAAAACCTCAGATTGGGTCAATGTCAATATGAGATTGTTTTGTGTGGCACAATCTGAGGTTGTTGTTTGCTAACAAGGACTTGACTAACGATTGATCTCGTCGCCATTAATGTACTAAGATCAAGTATGAATAAAGCAAAAGTGAGCGGAATCATAGCCTATGGTGCAAACACCACATGTCAAGGCGAGGAACGACACGCTGTCTACGTCATCACTGGTTCTTTGGCGTGGTGAGGGGCTTGAGATTTGATCTACAGAGACCATATGCGGAAAGGCTATCCACTGGTTGCCCTATCCTGTGTAGTACCAGCCGTCTCAACTCCCAGCCCTGAAGCATCATCCGGTGATGCCAGGGGAGACTGTGTATAGGCTATAGATAGAGTGTACCTAATGCAACTGTTATCAGATTTGTAGGATTTTTTTTTTCAGCTTTTTTTTTTCAATAAGAGTTTTTTTTTTCTTCGGTCCAACTTACTTTTCAAGGTGGCATCCCTAACACCACTACTACAGGATAGCCTATCCTCGAAAGGCCTCCGTGGAATAAATCTGAAGCCCCCACCACGCCAAATCACCAGTTGTGACGTAGCAGCATGTCGTTTCTCGCCTTGAGGTAAGCTGTTTGCACCACAGGTTATGATTCCGCGGGCTATTGCTTTATGCATACTTGATTTTACTACATTAATTAACTTTCTGAAACAACTCTTTTTTAGATCTCGTTTTCATCTTCCTCTTTGCCTATTATGTTAATCAAAATTAAATAATAATTTCCTTCATGAATTTAAATTCTAAACTACGACCACTAGTGCAAACAGCTCACGACTAATTCAAATCCTTTTTCTGGGGTTTCTTGAAGGGTCCTCTACCACGTAGTGAAGAGTTTTTACGCTATTTTTTGGACACTCTGTATAACTCGAGACCAAACGAGACGAGACTTTGGTGGTAGACTTAGTCTCGGTCTCGTCTCGAGATGTCGAGACGAGACGAGACCAACTTTAAGTCTCGTCTCGTCTCGTCTCGCGGCACCACTACTAACGACAACCACAGCTACACTGACAAAGTTCTTGCACCTATAATACTTATCCAAAACTATGAATTACTTGAAATTAAAAATAACACACTTCATGGCACATTTTTCAAATCATTTTTAAATTTACTGAAATTGCATATTCTATAATCTCACACACGTTTCCCTAAAAACTCTTGTAGCGTTGGGTAATTCCTTGACATAATAATAGCGAACTAGTCTGAGACTGAGACTATTTTGCAGAAAATAAAATTAAGCGCTTGATAATGCTGATATCCTTTCCCTTTCAATTATGTCTATGACTTTAAGAATCTGATGTCAGTAGTCACTCCTACTCTGGCGAATGAAAACTTCAATGACGTTATTTTTTAATCAAATTTCGCATTAAAACTATAATTTCTTGCAGAGTTTCTATAAAATGTAGCAGGTGTTCTTCATGCCAAGAAAATAACAAAATTGTCTCCCAAAAATCGTATAGTGGCAAAGGGTTATTGAATGGGACAGAGGCCCGACCACCGCCTATTGGTGGCAAAGAGTAGGGTACTCAACCATAACATGAGCTATAGAACAGCGATCACTCGGGACGAACGAACACCGAAAGAAGCGTTAGGTAGCGGCTACGCTATCACAATGAAATCATAGCAAGAAAGTAATTTGGTAATATGATCGTTTCTAGAACAAACCTGGACACTACCAGCGGGGAAAAATCTCTACATAATGAAAATAAGTGAAACGCCTTTCTATCAAAGACTGTGAACGGTACGACCAAACAGTGTAGCATCTCCTTTGAGGTTGTCATGCGCTTCGGAACTGAGAATGGAGAATCTTGGGAGAATCCTGGCCTGCTATGTCGTTCCTGACTCAGTCTGTTTGTTGAGGCAATATCACTGGGCGATTGCCTAGATGAGTCAGTGCGGGGAGAATAGAATACGAAGTCCACTGCTGGGATTTTTCGGTTACCCACCATATTGTCAACTGGTCAAATATAATCACCCTGTAAATACAATTTATAAAATATGCAGAATGCAGCACCACCAAGTAATATTTCACCTTACCAGTTTAGTAGGTCAGTGCTATCTATTAGATCCGTTTCTGCAGAAATCACAAACTAGTCAGAGCGAATTTCATTGGTTGAAACTAGTTTTATCACTGTTTTCAACCAATGAAATTCGCTCTGACTGGTTTGTGATTTCTGCAGAAACAGACTTATTATCAACAGGCACGTATTGTTGACATCCCACAAATGTAAAAGATCGATACACAACCAGCATCGGCATCCGTTTAGATCTCCTTAGGAACACCTTATCCCAGAGAGAGTAGCTAACCGTCCTCAGGGATACCTTACCCCAGGGACGACGATTCACAGTGTCGCAATAATTGAGTGAAGCAAGCGATTGCCCCCTATAAAGGCCGGACCGACGCAAAGACCATGTGGCGTGTCTACTTAGTAGCCATCTGGTGGGACATTTGTAGAGAACCGTCTTTGATAGAAGCTTTATCCATGGTGTGTGTTTCCCTATCCCCTGACGAACAGTTACTATAGGTAGAAGCCCTCTATGTGACAATATCTAGATCCAGATCTACGAAGATTAGTACTTATGCAATTTAACTTTGAAGCCATAGAGCAAATTTCACGGATCCGCTCTATTTCTATTGCTCCACTTTATTGTTTTAATCATAATATGTATTCCAATTTAATAACATAGTGAAGGCACCGCGTTAAATTATTTATTTGGTATCCAAGCTTATATCTATTATTAGCTACAAAATCCCCATTTAAATTATTTAAATATTGTAAAAGCAGTTACCTATATGAAGTCTAAAACCATTGCAATGAATACAAAATCCAAACACTAACTATTTCTGTAAATAATAAATGAATTTAAGTAAACTCAAGATATGAAGTACCTACAATTATGATAGGAAAATCACTGGCATCGTCCATTCTTTAGTTATATCCATAATAACCTAAGTATAATGCGTGTAAACGTTGTGTTGTTTTAGTACTCGATGCCGTCAGACATATCATTCGGATTTATAAAAATAATTGAATCTTAAGTGTCCTTATTATCTTATATCTCAAACAAAATTTAATAGTAGGGTTAGTTAAGTCGGTTCCAGTGTAGTATTGTCGAACTTGCTTTTTTTTAACGGCCTCTTGTTCCAATTTGGGAGGCTATTATTCGCCAAAAAATGTCCAAAGATCAGTTTTTGTCTTGCGGTGTTTGTAGACAAATTTGTAGTAGTGGGTGTCAAAGTTGCAATTCTCTGGTGGATAAACAATGTATCAAAAGTCAAAATCAGAAAATTCCTTTCTCGAAAATAAAGAAAAAGAAAAAAATCTTGAGCACTCTGGATTGTTTGATTTCCGTATTTATTGTTACTCCACTTGTTGTTGCTTGTTGGAGAGGAACATCGCAACTTATGGACGTTTATGGAGAATATTTTCCACCATTGGAGAGTTTTATAATTGGTAAAGTACATTATTTTTACTTATATATCAATTAGTAGAACCCGAGGTAGAACCTAACGGGTAGGTAGGTACCTACCTAACGATAAAAATGTTTCATAAATGAAATAAAAACAGAAAGGTTACCTATATGATGTCTGATCTCTGTACTTTTTAACTACCAACAAAATTTGGGTACAAATTACAGTAAATTGATTCCTAAAAAACGACTTTTTTGTAAGAAAGCAGTCCAATTAATTTGAGGATACATTTCTTACATTATTTTAAGAGTAGGTCACCAATAGGCAATTGGAGGTAAAAATTGTGCCATTACTGCCCATTTTAGCATATTTATGTGTTCCAAAAAAAGTTGTCCAGTATGGATGTCTATGTTTTTCGCAATTTTGTTTATTATTTAGCAGAAGACTCTCATTATGGAATATGGATACATGGTAGGAAGTGCCGATGTTGAAATAGAGGGTTATTTTACTTTTCCCAGTGAATCTCCGTTATATTCAACTGTTTTTAAAATAATATACATTGTCACCAGTCCGCATCATACTTACGAGAAGTTTTTTTATTACCTATAGCTTAAGCAAATTGAGAGTTCGTTCATGAACGGTGTTTGCTCTGAAAATGCTCGATAATGGCGTAAATATTTGACAAGAAATGTCAGCATTTTTGACCGGTTGACAGATTGCAAAACTCGATATTTTGGTATTTTCAATGGTTGCTTATGAATCAATGGATAACAGTACGGAAATCATTTTTTTCCGCCTACGCCGGGAAATTGATTCCCATTTTCAAGTTTTCTTGACCTAACAATATTTTGGCTCATTCATCAGTTTAATTGGCCCAGCTCCATTGCTCCGGAAGTAATGTCCTGTTGATCCAAGCTTGTATCTGCTATTTTGAAAATTTTTCACAGAAGATTCGTTTCGTAAATCATTTGCAGGAATCGATCTTCCTTCACTGCCATGAAATGATGCATGTGCAAAAAAGTTTCTCCCTGCTCACATAGACATATATTTTTTTATTTGCATTTTATTGCTATATTTAATTTGCTACAGCTCCTAATTGTGGTGTACCCACTTTCAAATATTTTTAAAGTACCTATCGATTCTGCCGTCACTAAATCTTGCTGTGACAGTGTTGCACTTGCCAGAAGCATGGCATGCAGAAAAATCTCATAAAACATGCATCATAATATATTGACTGTTAGATACTATGTAAAGCCGTTTGAGCTCTTTCTATTTTTTCAATGCCCAAAAAATGTTTATCTATGAGTAATTAATCTATTATAGACCGGTGGCCCAGCGTCAAATCACCCCCCTCATCGGGCACAAAATTTTCATTATAGGTACTCGAAACACTTTATCATTCGTAACCAAAAACAGCCCGTCTGCCAGCGATGGGTGGTAGCCCGCCCCCGTGACCGCCCCCCAAATAAGGGAATTTTGATCAAAAACCCCCCTAACGAGTACACAAATGAAATTTTTTGGACATGTAGAGAATTACATCAGAAATCTAAAAACACGTGGCAGACGCCTTCCAGTGGTAGCCCGTCCAGGGCAGACGCCTTCCAGTAGTAGCCCGTTTAGGGCAGGCGACCTTAAAAAAAATATATATAGACGATATTCCTTAATATCATGTACAAACGAAAGGGGATAATTTTTTGACTTATTTCATGACTAAAATTTCTAATAAACATAGGTCCGCAAACGCTTCGTTACTGATCTACAGGGTGTTGAAATTTTAATATTTTTTTATAGTTTTTTCTTTATAGCTCCTTCAATTTTTGAGGGATTTAGCTCAAATTTGGAATATAGGTTACGCAATAGGAGCTGAATAATTGCACATGCTAAACCTTTGCCAGAATCTACAGGGTAATGTTTTTTCAGGGGTCATGTCCCCTTTTTTGCCCCTCAACTTTTTCGCAGTGCCCCGCAGGTCGATTCACACACAAAATAATTTTCCTACCTTATTTAGAAACGTTTTGTTCTCTTGTAGTTTTTTCATATCACCGACCCTTATCGAGAAAAAAATTAAAGAACAAATCTCTGTAATTAGTTAGATGAAACTAAAGTGACTCAATAAACCTTTTCTACCTACAGTAACGACAATAGAGGTTCCGCAGCCATATTCTTGGTCATTTTCAATAGGAATCTAGAAGCCATATTATTGCTCATTTTCAATATAGATAGGTACATTAAAATTTCAACACCCTGTATATCGGTAACGAAGCGTTTGCGGACCTATGTTTATTAGAAATTTTAGTTATAAAATAAATTAAAGAATCACCACTCTCCGTTTGTACGTGATATTTAGAAACACCCTGTATATATGACGTAAACCTCCCCTTCCGAGTACATTCACAAAATTTCGTAGGCTTAAACACAGTCAGATTGGTGTGCTAAAAATGCATGGCAAACACCTTCAAGTGGTAGCCTGTCTGATACAAAATTTCGCTGAACGTTCCCTATTATGGATAAAGACATTAAATAAAAACACAACATAAGAGGAACCAAAACACAGATTATGTATTAGTCAGAGAACTTATCATTAATAATGATAAATAGGAGTTAAAGATTATACAGGAACACGGTAGAGTAATGACTCTCTCAGACCTAACTTCACTAGAGAGTCATTACGGGGGGGGAGTCGATAATTTCTTGGAAAATTCGAAAAAATTATTGATGCTTTGTAGGGATATTTTGAAGTTTGAGGATGATAGAGTTGACCCTGAAGTACACTCAAGAATAGTTTTTGAAATCAAGTCAAGTCTGGGAGAGTCGCTACGGGTGGAAGGCGATAATTTGTTGGAAAATTCGTGAAAAATTCATGATGCTTTGTAGGGATTTTTGAAGTTTGAGGATGATAGAGTTGAACCTTGAACACAGTCCAGAATAGTTTTTGCGGTCAAGTTAGGTCTGGGAGGGTCACTACGGGGGGGAAGTCGATAGTTTGTTTGAAAATTCGTGAAAAATTAATGATGCTTTGTAGGCATTCTTTGAAGTTTGAGGATGATAGAGTTGACTATAAGCACAGTCAAGAATAGTTTTGGCAGTCAAGTTAGGTCTGGGAGAGTCACTACGGGGGAAAATCGATGATTTGTTTGAAAATTCGTGAAAAATTATTGATGCTTAAATTCTTAAAAAAATTTCTTCACAATTTTGTATTTTATTTTAGCTTCGATAAAAGAAGAAACAGGCTGTAAACTAAAAAAATCTCAAATCGGTCCATTTGTTCACGATTGGCAATGGTTCAAGGTTGCACCTAAAGTTAGGTCAGTCACATTTTATGACACTGAAAACCAATTTCAAAAAAAAAAAATATGCGTAAAGCTAAGAGAATTCGGAAGGATAGATTTATGATGTTTAAGAACTATCGATCAGACCCTTCAACTGATGGGCAAACAGAAAAAATATCAGAGAGGGGAAAAACTTATGCGATAATCGACCTCTTTAGTCCCCGTATTGACTTTCTCAGAACTAACTTGACTGGAGGAAGTTTTCTCATATGATTCAGGGTCAATTCGTTCTTCCTGAAATGACGAAAAATCCCTACAAATTGTTAGAGAGATTTTTTTCAGGTAATGACCAACGTGAATACAGGAACACAACGGTCCCTGTTTGGGAATCGACCCACTGAGCAGTGGACCCAGACTTCCCGTGCCAATCCTTGACGCGTTTCGTCCTTGTTAGGACTCATCAGAAGGACATAGGCTGAAACTCCCTGTCCAAGGAAAATTGAACTTCGTTGACCAGTCAGAAACAACTACTCCGAGGGCAAATACCCCTACCGGCGTTGAACTACACTGATTGGTCTGAGCTTTCGTTGGCAATGAAAATTGTTAGAGAGATTTTTTTTCAGGTAATGACCAACGTGAATACAGGAACACAACGGTCCCTGTTTGGGAATCGACCCACTGAGCAGTGGACCCAGACTTCCCGTGCCAATCCTTGACGCGTTTCGTCCTTGTTAGGACTCATCAGACTAATCAGTGTAGTTCAACGCCGGTAGGGGTATTTGCCCTCGGAGTAGTTGTTTCTGACTGGTCAACGAAGTTCAATTTTGCTTGGACAGGGAGCTTCAGCCTATGTCCTTCTGATGAGTCCTAACAAGGACGAAACGCGTCAAGGATTGGCACGGGAAGTCTGGGTCCACTGCTCAGTGGGTCGATTCCCAAACAGGGACCGTTGTGTTCCTGTATTCACGTTGGTCATTACCTGAAAAAAATCTCTCTAACAATTTTCATTGCCAACGAAAGCTCAGACCAATCAGTGTAGTTCAATGCCGGTAGGGGTATTTGCCCTCGGAGTAGTTGTTTCTGACTGGTCAACGAAGTTCAATCCCTACAAAGCATTATTAATTTTTCAAGAATTTTGACACAAATTATCGACTTCCCCCCGTAATGACTCTCTATGAAGTTAGGTCTGGGAGAGTCATTATTCTACATTCTACCGTATTCCCATATAATCTGTAACTCTTATTTAGCATTATCAATGCTAAGTACTCTTGAATAATACATAAATCTGTATTTTTGTTCCGTCCCTAATACTTATGTTGTTTCATTTAATGTCTTTATTTATAATGAGAAACGCTTCAGCGTAATTTTGTCTTGGACAGGCTACCACTTGAAGGCATTTGCCATGCATTTTTAGCACACCAATCTGACTGTGTTTAAGCCTACAAAATTTTGTGAATGTAATCGTAAGGGGAGTTTCACGTCATATATAGGTATATATTTTTTTAAGGTCGTTGCCCTGAACGGGCTACCACTGGAAGGCGTCTGCCCTGGACGGGCTACCACTGGAAGGCGTCTGCCACGTGTTTTTAGGTTTCTGATATAATTCTCTATATGCCCAAAAAATTTCATTTGTGTACTCTTTAGGGGGGTTTTTGATCAAAATTCCCTTATTTGGGTGGCGGTCACGGGGGCCGGCTACCACCCATCGCTGGCAGACGGGCGGTTTTTTGTTACGAATGATAAAGTGTTTCGAGTACCTATAATGAAAATTTTG